AGGTTGAAGTAAAATAAAGCCTGTATATTAATTAAGGCAGGTCAAGCTGTAAGTGTCAGAAAACTCAAAATAATATTGGCTTGAATAGAGAAAAGTTGCATGTGTTTCATATGAAAAAAAAGAAAAACAAAAAACAGTCCAGAGCTAATTCAACAGCTCCATGTTCATCATGACCCAGGCAACTTCTGTCTTATTGCTTTACCTGACTCAGCATGTTGCTTCCATCTTATGGCCTAAAATGGCTGCTTTAGCTCTGTTCATCACATCTGTATTCCAACCAGCAGGAAGGAGGAAAGGGCAGAAGAACACAACTCCTTCCTTTCTTAAGAAACTTCTTAGAAATTGCATGTATCACCTCTGGTTACATCTTATTAGCCAGAATTTCATCACATGGCCACACCTAGCTGCAAGCATTAGCTAGAACTTCCAGTGCAATGTTGAAAAGGAGTTATGAGAGGGGATGTCCTTGTCTTGTTGATCTTAGTAATCTTGATTTTAGTGAGAAAGCTTTTAGTTTCTCACCATTAAGTACAACATTAGCTGTGAGATTTTTTTTGTACACGTTCTTTAGAATAGAAGTTCCCATCTGTTTCTAATTTGCTGTGTTTTTTAAATCATGTATGACTGTTAGATTTTGTAAAACGCTTTTTCTGCTTCTATTGATAAGATCATGTGATTTTTCTTCTTTAGCCAGTTAGCGAGATAGATTATATTAATTGATTTTCAAATGTTGCATACCTAGGATAAACCCCACTTGAATGTGGTGTATAATTCCTTGTGTACATTGTTAGATTCGATTTGCTAATATTTTGTTGAGAATTTTTGCACCTGTGTTCACAAGAGATCTTGGTCTGTAGTTTTCTTGCAATGTCTAGCTCTGGTATTAGGGTAATGAGTTAGGAAGTATTTGTTCCGCAGTTATCTTCTGAAAGAGATTGTAGAGAATTGCTATAATTTCTTCCTGAAATGTTCAGTAGAACTCACCAGTGAGCCCATCTGGGCCTAACTTTTTTTTTTTTTTTTATTGGAGTATAGTTGCTTTACAGTGTTGTGTTAGTTTCTGCTGTACAGCAAAGCGAATCGTTTATTCATATACATATACATATATACACTCTTTTTTAGATCATTTTCCCATATAAGTCATTATAGAATATTGAGTAGAGTTCTCTACGCTTTATAGTAGGTCCTTATTAGTTATCTATTTTATATAAGGTAGTGTGTATATGTCAATCCCAATTTCTCAATTTATCCCCCCCTTCCCCCTGGTAACCATAATTTTGTTTTCTACATCTGTGACTTTATTTCTGTTTTGTGAATAAGTTCATTTGTACCTTTTTTTTTTTTTTAGATTCCATATTTAAGTGATATAAGTGATATCATATGATATTTGTCTTTCTCTGTCTGACTTACTTCACTTAGTATGACAATCTCTAGGTCCATCTGTGTTGCTGCAAATGGCATTATTTTGTTCTGGGCCCAACATTTTTTAATGAAAACTTTCACTTTACAGAGATACTAGCCCTGGAGGCAGGTCTGAGTCTGAGGCCTTGAGCGACTGGGGCAAGCTTAGAAGGGTTACTTAAGTTCATTGAACTCATTTTCCTGTTCTTTACAATGAGGATAATATGACCTCCTTATGGTGGTATTGAAAGGATGTATAGCACCTAGCACTGCCCAGCCTCTAGTGAGCACTTAATGGGAGCTATTGATTTACTTACTTACTTATTACTTACTTGCTTACTTTCTTTACTTACTTACTAGATCAGATTGTGTGTTGAACTGTTGAAGGCACCATGTCTTATATACCCTTGGAGGATGGGGTAGATAGTTCCTGTTTTTTTCCTTTTCCTTTCCTTCCTTTCCTTCCCTTCCCCTCCCTCCCTTCCTCCCTTCCTCTCTTCCTTCCTTCTTTCCGCTTTCTTTCTTTCTTTCTTTCTTTCCTCCTTTCTTTTTTCTGTTTCTTTCTTTCCTCCTTTCTTTTTTCTCTTTCTTTCCTTCTTTCTTTCTCTCTCTCTCTCTCTCTCTCTCTCTCTCTCTCTCTCTCTTTCTTTCTTTCTTTCTTTCTTTTTCTCTCTCTCTCTCTCTCTTTCTTTCTTCCCTCCCTCCCTCCCTCCCTCTCTCTCTCCCTCTCTCCCTTCCTCCCTTCCTTCCTTTCTGGGTCTTTTTGGCTTCAGGATGTATTAATCATATGTTGAACTTTTTTCTTTTTTAAACTTGGAGGACAAAAAATTCATCAAGGCACCTCAACAGCCAACACTACTCTAGTGTGTCTGATGGTCAGGGACACTCTATACCGAGCATATTTAAACATTTGACCCCAGTGGGTCTCTGTAAAGTGCAGCTCTTCCGTCACTTGATCAGAGTGAGCCTTGTACATTGCTTTCTCTTTTTTTTTTGGCCTTGGACTGACTTGTACAACACATGGCTGGAGCTGCAGCCCATAAAGTGGAGGTCTGCCCTGTCTTAGACTCTGGTAGGACAGAGAACAGACACTCTTAAGGCGAAGAGTGCCCATTTTCAGTGCTGGGGGCATCCCCTCTCTGATTCTCTCTGCCTTTGGGTAAGACCTTATCCTCTGGTTTGTTGCCAGTGAGTTTTGCTCTCGCCCAGTGTGGAGATGAGCAGTGTGGTGACTTAAGACCCTAATGGGTGATGGTGGTATGTAAGGAGGAGGGCAAGTCAAGCAGATTGCAAGCCTTTTGCAGATGTGTTTTAGGTGGAACTATAGTCCAGTCAGAGCTTTGTACATACATAGAAAAATGGAACTGAAAAGTATTTTTATTTGTGCTTGATTTGTGATAATGGGAAATTAATGGCAGGAGGCTGTGAAACCAATTCAGAAGGATTTCCCAGTGTTGGTAGCAGTAGCCGCAGCAAGTCGCCAGGGTCAATTCCCTCTGCAGGTCCAGAGCCCAGCGCCCAGTGTAGGAGTAGGAGACTTCTTCTGGACCTCTGGGTGTGAGATATCTCACTGTGACTGGTGCGGGCAGGAGGAGGGGGTGGGGGCACCTGCTCATACTGTTTGCCGTGCTTGGGGAATTCAGGGAATCATGCGTCCAGTACCTCCTGACTTTGCTGCCGTGACGTCTTCCTTTACCACCTCTGTTTCTCAGAAAGCAGCTGGGCACAGTAGAGCAATACGGAGGGTAGCAGTGATTATTTGAGAAGGTACATACTTCATTTCAGATAACAGTTGATAACTGTTATCAACCTAGATAATTTCCATGAGTTCTGAAATAGACTTGCACACCAGGTGGGGTACCTGCGTATAGCACAGCAGTGGGGATACAGGATTGTCTGGTTTGAACTGTATTTGCATTTTAGACTGGGGCTAATCCCGGAGAGTATTTTTATTATGTAGAAGTCAGGAAGAACTACTTGGAGTGCATTCAGGTCTTTTATCGGGTTCCATTTGGAAGGTCGGGGTTTAGGATGCTGTATGTTCCAAGTCCCAGTCTCCTCAGCTAATTGAGGACAACACCAAGCTTACAGAGGTATGTGAGGTTTAAGTATCGCTGAGTACTTTTGACTTCTGGATGTCCTTCCCTATCAGTTCAGCTAATGTATGTCACACCACTGTAGCAATCTGTTTCCCGTATTAGCTGCATACAGCCAAATCCAAGTCCCCAGAATGGGGCCCTAATCACTGATCAGAGAGGGGGCAGTGTTTTCTTTAAGCTCAATGATTCATTTAATAAATTTTTTTTTGACATTTCCTACATGTGAGGCACTGTGATGGGTGCTGAGGATACAAAGAGAGTAACCCACAGCTGTCAGGGAGGTCCCACTGGACTGGCAAAGATGGACATATACACTGGTGGTTACAGTGTAGAAAATGAAACAGCCGAGACAGGCAGAGGAATTATGGGAGCACAGAGGACGTGCACCTTCCTCAGCTTGGGATGTTTGTTTTGGGGGTGGAGGTAGAGCGGACAAGGAATTTGGGAAAAGGAAACAAGCTTGAATAAAGACATAGAGTGAGAAACATCATGGTATGTTTCGAGACATTTAAGCCACGTGGGGTTCCTGGAGGCAGAGGGCTTAGGCTGGAGAGCTAGGAAGGGGCTAGATCAAGAAAGGCCTTCGTTTGCCAGGTGAGGGAGCACAGACCAGCAGTTCTCAAGGGACAGGACATAACTACAGGGCTGGGCGGGGCAGGTTTTTGCATCTGGAATAACCGTTCAGTTGAGGACCACCCTGGGTTAGGTGAACCATGTCTGTATGGAAGGCAGCTTGGAGAGCTTGAGACCAGAGGCTCCTTTCAGGAAGATCTGCAGTTGTCTAGGGACGGAGACAGTGAGGGCTGCAGGAAGTAGAGACGGGGAGGAAAGGATGGATTTCAGATTTAAGTTCTGATTGCTTAGAGGAAGGGAGAATGAGGAAGCCAAGCATGCCCAGGGTTCTACTTTTTCTATCTGAGGCTCTGCTCATATCCTACCTGTCTTGGGAGGATCTTTCTGACCTCTCTCAAACTTTGCTGTACAACTCCGGCCCCAGCTGCCTCTGCTCATTGCATCTTGCTTTTGTATGTTCTTAAGATTGTTTTGCTTTCCCTAAGAAGGGGAAGCACTTAGAAAGGTAGAATCTGCATCTTAAACCTTTTTGGGTGCAATTTTAGGTGTCTAATATTTATGCATAATATCATTGGGGCTTTCCACAACTTATTCTATTTATCTCTGGTTTTCTTCTAAGAGGGGAAGGAAGAATTGAACACAGATGTCAAATGGGAACTTTCCTCCATCCAGAGGAATACATTCGTGGCTTGTGTGTCTAAAAGGGAGTTTAATCAAATACACATCAAAAGTATCCAAAAGGAATTTAAGAGATTGGGATTTTACAAGAATAGACTAGCTTTTTTGCCATTTAGTTCTGGAAACAACTTACCTGGAAAGGCACCTCTGGTGGGTTGGCAGTGGCTTGTATATTCAGAACAATTAATTTAATCATGGCACAATTAATTGCGGATTCTGAGGGGTTCATGTTTCTGATTCCCTCTGCAGGTCCAGAGCCCGGTGCCCAGTGTGAATTGTCGCCTGTCAATGCCTCCCATCCAGTCCAGGCCCTGATGGAGAGCTTCACCGTCTTGTCGGGATGTGCCAGCAGGGGGACGGTGGGGCTGCCCCAGGAGGTGCACGTCCTGAACCTCCGCACTGCTGACCAGGGGCCCGGCCAGCCACAGAGAGAGGTAGGCGCGGGTGCCAGCTTTCTACTCACTGCCCCTAGGAATTTGTAAAGACATTTTTCTGGATGAAGAGTCCTTTTCTTCCTTTCTGGGTTTAACGAGGATGCTCATGTATGAACATAAGTGGGGAGGAGGACACAAAGTACACTCAAGAGACAGAGAAGGATTTCAGTTAATCCAGAAGGATTGCTCTCTGAACTGGGCAACTCTAAGACTTCGCTCTAGAGAGATTTTTCAGCTTTTCAACTTTCCTGGTCCCCCTCCCTGCCTCATAGTGGAAAGAATGTTCTTAAGAATTTCATTTTTAAAACATGGTTGTGAGAAAACAAAATAAGGTGCCATTTCTCTGTTATTGTAAAATGTCTTTCTCATCTGCTCCTGTGCCCTGTCTTTCATCTTTCTTTGTTTTGTCTTGTGGACCTATTGCTCCTGCAGGATGAGTCAGAGGAAACAGAAATACTCTGGAATAAGGATGGCAGTACTTTGTATGTGCATGAAAGCGCTGGGGGTGGGTAGCTCCTTATGTTATCCAGGCAGGTTCTTGAAGACTGTGGTGATCTTGGTGGTGGTGATGATGACCCAAGCTCATAGTGACTCAGTATTTCCTCTATCCTCAGCCCTGTTTGAAGCACTCATACACTTATTCCATGAAGTCCTATTACTACCCTCAATTTACAGGTGACAGGTGCAATGGTAACTCACTTGCCCAAGGTCATTGCCATAAGAGAGAAATGGCCTCCTCTTTCTTGTGGCTCAGAAATGACTTGGGTTGTGGATTATGGTCCCCCTGCTTCTTAAGATAACACACAGTTGTCATTCTTTCTGTTTCTAAGCTTCTGTGTCGGAAATGTTATCACTCAGGTATTAACTCTTCGGGAAGAGAGAAAGCACAATAAACCATGATCACAGTGAAGTGTAGAAAAACTAATACAGAGCAGAATTTATCTTTGAGCTTTCTTCTGGTCAGGAAAGTTAATTTCCAGAACTGTTTGTTTATGTGCCTCAACCACTCTTCTTTTTGGGGGTGGGGGGGCGGGTAGGACTAGGAGAGACGAGGTGTCCAGAAGGAAAAGCAAACTGATTTTAATCTTGTGAAAGTGTGCGGAGTTGGCTCATTTCAAAGACAAATCATCTGACCTTTCCAGCTACATTGGAAATTATCGTTAATACTCTTGGTTGTTTGCCATTGTTGCTGCAACACATATTTCAGGTCGGATTTCTTTATCCCAGTAATGCGTCTTTAATTCTTAACTTATGGGGGAGAATTTGGGTGGGAGGGAAAGGAAGGGAGGAGGAAGTGCAGTTCCTATGAAGCCTTGCTGACTCCAGCAATTCTTCAGCGGCAATAATTACTCATATTATATGTGCTCTCTCAGAAGAACCAAGAAAGAAAAGCAAGTCCGAGCGATTACAGAAGCGGCAGAAATTCTGCGTGCTAAATTGTGTGGTACTGTTGTTGATCCTGAAAATAGATTCACATTAAGACTACTGAAGTGGGCTTCCCTGGTGGCGCAGTGGTTGAGAGTCTGCCTGCCAATGCAGGGGACATGGGTTCGAGCCCTGGTCTGGGAGGATCCCACATGCCGCGGAGCAACTAGCCCCGTGAGCCACAATTACTGAGCCTGCGCGTCTGGAGCCTGTGCTCCGCAACAAGAGAGGCCGCGATAGTGAGAGGTTGGTGCACCGCGATGAAGAATGGCCCCCTGCTTGCCGCAACTAGAGAAAGCCCTCGCACAGAAACGAAGAGCCAACCCGGCCATAAATAAATAAATAAATAAATAAATAAATAAATAAAATTAAAAAAAAAAAAGACTACTGAAGCAAAAGAAGAATACCTCAAGGAATGACAGCAGAGCTCTCCCACACTTATATTGACTATGTTAGAGCAAAATAGACACGGCTGTACTGAAGATACGGAAAATTAGCTGGCATCAAGGGACGTCGTACGTTCAGTGAAGAAGTAAAGAAAGTGGGCCTACGGGGGATAGTGTCTAAAACTTGTTTAAAAACCTGAACAATTAAGTATCTCTCATGTTCTTTACATGTGACTCTGGAGATACAGGACTGCAGCCATGCCAACAGCTTTTTAAAATCATTTGAACTATGTGACCCAGCAGTTCCACACCTAAGTGTATACGCAAGAGAAAGGAAAACATACGTCCACATAAAAACTTGTCCACGATTGTTCACAGCAGCGTTATTCATAATAGCTAAAATGTGGGAACAGCCTGAATGCCCATCAGCTGATGAATGGATAAATGAAATGTGGTACATATATCCATACAATGGAATGTTATTCAGCAATAAAAAGGAATGAAATACTGATACATGCTGCAACGTGGATGAACCTTGAAAATGTTACGCTGAGTGAAAGAAGTCAGAAACAAAATACACGTGCTGTCCAGAGTAGACAAATTTATAGAGGTAGAAAGTAAACTGGTGGTTGTTTAGGGCTGAAGAGCAAAACAGAGACTTGGAGCCTGACTTTATGAGTACAGAGTTTCTTTCAGGGGGACAGAAATGTTCTAAAATTAAATTATAATGATGGTTCCACAATTGAACATGAATATAGTAAATACCATTGATAAATGTCAATAAATGTGACTAACCAAAAACCATTGAGTTGTACTTTTAATGGGTGAATTTTATGGCATGTGGATTTTATCTCAGTAAAGCTGTTAAAAAACTGATTCAACCTGTCAGTATATTAATTACCCATAAAATTTACCTTAACTATATCCACTTTTTTTTAAAAAAAAAACTAGGATTGCTTCCTCTTCCAACCTAAACCCACTGAACTCTTTCTGATATTCTCAATGGATAACTTGATTTTTATAGATATGCTATTAGATATGGTCTGTGCTAAAAATCACAGCCAGTCAGTTCTGGAGGTAATAGTGGGAGGACCAGAGGCAGCCTTTGTGCATGTCTCTACGAAATATTAAGGGCAAATATTTTTCAAGATGAAATGATAAATGTTGTTGCGTATAAATTAGAAAAGAATGCCCTACTGGCTCCAAGCCATAATTACTTTGACTCTTATGACCGAAGTCGTTGTTTTTCATGATGTCCTCCTTAAATGTGAGGGAATTACTAAATCAACCCTATACCCACTCCCCGCCCTGACAGGCTTGTTTTGGTGCAGGATTAGCATTAAGATCTATTATAAATCATCCCTTCTCTAACATTTTACTAAATTCCTACCTCCCGGGCGCCTTAAGCTTCCTCAGCTGAGGAGAGGCTGCTGCTTTTCCTGTGTGGAGGAGGTGACAGAGCCTACACCTGGAAGTAATAACCGCAGCAGGTTGACAAGATTTGGGGAATCAGTTATACTTAATTAGACAAAGAATTTTATAGGCCAGCAGAGAATTTGTATCAGAAACATACTTGCTACAATAATGTATACAAAGCCCCCTGTGGCAAAGCATGGTTTTGCCATTGACTTCCCTGCTGGGTTCTCATCAGGACAGCACAGACCTGTAGTTGCATTTTTCATCTGAGACCACACCTCTCATTTGTAATCATTGGTTTTGGAAACAACAGTTCTGGAAGTGAACCGGAAACTGGAAAAAGACTCTTTGGCGACAGAGGAGGGCAGAAGAGGGTAAACAGCCCTGAGAGACCAACTTTGTCTTTTAGAATAGTGGGCAGATGTCATCGGTTTCACCCTATGAAAACCAGCTGCCTGTGCCCTTTAACTTCAAGGTAAAATGTCCCACCCCTCCCTCACTTCCTGCCCCTACTCTTTTCTGACCACCGCTCCATCCCCTGCCCATACCCCTGAGTTTGGTCCCTCTGGGTGTTTCCTGATTCCTGAGAAGGGTTGTAGCACCACCAGAGGCTTGTTTACAGTAACATACGTTCATTAGTTGCTGGAATGGCAACAATTTTGTTTCCGATCCTCTAATTTTTATTGTGACCTGCTTTTTCCGGGCGATGCTCCTTTTCTATTTCCCATCTATCTAACTGCTCGCTTATTATGAAAAGCCCTTAGTTAGCAGTACGTATGTGTATAACAGATATGGATGTTTAAATTTATATATTTGTTTTGACATTGAAGAAGAGACTGTTAATGGGCGTGCCAAGCCAGCGACTGGCTTTAGGGGTGGAGTGAGGATCTGGGAGAATCCATGGTCATGGGAAAGGGGCCAGGTTTAATAACTTTATCCTCACCCTTCAGAAAGCTCAGAACCCTCCATTCTTGTATGTGTTTACTTATTCTCTGCTTCATTCCAAAAAGGGATTTGGGATGGGCTTACAACAATAGACATACCAAGACCGTAAGCAGAAAAGCAAAATGAGGACAAAAGAGAAGTGCAGTTTGTTAGCCATATGGGTTATGTGGTGGGTACGACTGAGTTTGAAATTTGGCAGCAATTTGGCAGGCTTCTTGGCAGGCAGGGCCAAATGGGATATGCGGTTAATCACACATGTGGCTCCAAGTTACTTTTCCTTGGTGCCTTCTCTGAGGACTGTGGCATACAATTGTTCCTTTCCTGGTTCTGTTTGAGGGCAGGAGAGACCACAGTTGGGAGAAAGAGAAGGAAGAAAACACATCCTAATGCTAACGGTTCTGCTTGCCTCTTAACAGCTCCCTAGGCCCCAAATAACAGTAACAGTGACCACAGTGGTGGTGAAGTGCCAGCTGTGAGCCAGCCACCTGCCCTGCACCTGTGCCATCTCCGCCCATCCTCACTGTTGGCTGGAAAGGGAGGGAGGCCTAGGGAGGTTCACGGCAGACCCTGGGGCATGCAGCCCACCTCTGAGCCCGTGTGTGACTCTACAGTCCAAGGTTTTCCCACACGTCAGTCCACTTCCCTTTCACTTTTAGCTCTGACCTTGCTCCCAGCTATGAAACCTGCCACCCTGTCTCACTTGGCTCTACCTGTTCCACGAGGCAGCAGATCTCTCACCGAAGGTTTGGGTTTCCTGCATAGGCCTGTGATAGCTCTTTCTGATGCTCAGAGTTCCTTTTCGTTCCCTTCCTTGTGGCTTTGGGGCAG